GTTGCCTTAAATGTAGGCAGCAACTCCCCCTTTCCTCCGAGAATAGAATGTTTCAGTTAATGTGATCTGGCTTTTGGCCAAGGGTGAAAGGCGAAAATGAACTTCCGCATGATAATTTCATTTTCGGTGTCGTAAAATGCTAGCAATAAGCTATTTTACCCAGTGTAGTCAGTCTAACCTCCGCCGTAACTGACTTTGCTCAGCAACCCTTAGAAGGTTAAATACATATTTTGCCAGTTGGTGAATTTCTCATTTGTATTTCGAATTTCAAATTCATAAAACGAGGATTGCAGCTACTGTTATTTCTTCTGCCCACATGAATAATTTATAATGGTCTTCATTAAAAGGGAGGGAAATCCTGACAGATGCCTGGAATTGCATTGCATGCTTAATGGAGCGTTGGATAACTCCAGTGCAAATTTTATCACGCCCATCATCCGCATTAACTAAATGGCTGGCGACATCCTCTTTTACTTTTGCAAAATGGTTACGTATGTTTGTTCATAGTTTAGTGCTTAAAAATTTTTCCCTCACCATTTCCGTGAAGTGGTCTGCGTGAATTAGAATTCTGTGAGGCCGTGACTGGAGGCGCCATCCTTTTTCCAAATTCCACGTTACGCTCCTCCTTGACCAGATCTTTTAGCAGAATACGTTTTGACGTAAATGCCGCCAAAGTTACACCTTACCACCACCTTAATTATTTCGGTTTCTTAAAGCGTTTCATTTCACTTTGGAAACATAATACACTACACGAAATCACCTAATTTTTAAAATTTAAGTGAATATTTTGCCCAACTCTTATAGACATCCAGTGATAAAACGAAGAAGGTCTAGTTGTCTTAGAGAAATGACGCCTTTAAAATACTTGTTCTCATTAACGTTCCCCTTCGTGCGTGGTTGTAAAAATTTCCACCCACGTCTAGCAGTAACTGCCTTCCCCTTTTGAAGCGGAGAGCGTTCGTTTCCTTTGTTTGCCGCATTTTTCGCCTTGTGGAGATGGGCGCGGCGAATTCCTCTTTCCAGTTTAATGAATAGGCAAAAGGAAAATGCTGCTTCTTTGTACACAAAGTCATTGTTTATTTTAGAAAAATTGTGCTTTCAAATAAAATGTGAATTTTTAAAGTGACAACATTTGTCAAAATATTTTATACTCTGGAGTAAATGTTTATATCGGTTCAAAACAAGCAATCGAGCGTATTTCAATATCACGAAGTTCATTTTGTTTAGTTTAACGGACTATGTTAAAGTAGAATTGAACTGGAAACCCATTTGTTTAACCGCTTATTATAAAAAAGCCAAGAATTGGAAAATCCCAGTAAGGATAAAGTGTAGTTTGTAATTTAAAAACCTTTACTGACGCAAATAAATAACAGGAAAAGAACTACAGTTCAGAAGACATACCTCTATTAATCATATATCCCCTGTTTTTAATATAATGTGACATTCTCATCCAAACCGTTTACAAAAACTTTAAAATAATTGCCGTTTTAATGAGAAGAACGAATTCCCGTCTTCTTATAGTGCCATTGCTTAACAAGACTGGGGAATTGAACTGATCTTTGTTGGGAGGAAGTCAGGCTTAGACTTAATATGACACTTTTTCCTTTCCAAGTACGAGACAACCCTCCCCATTGCCTTGACGATCATTCTCTCTGTCATCCTCCTCATTCTCATCATCGTGCGAGTGGTACAGTGCTGCCAGGAGCGAAGGGCAAAGAGGCATTTAAAGGTCAGTTCCGAATACTCCTCCCTCTCTTTCCCTCTTGTTAAAATACCAGCCTTTCAGCAGGGCATGCCGATTCACCTCTAGGATCGTAATAAGCTGCACCATTACCTCTTGGTCTACAGAGGGGTTGGGGGTTGTGAACTTGGACGAGACACCTCAACACCACTATGGTGGCCGCAACCGCGGAGGCTGAGAGCCTGTGTACTTCCACTTCATCGTACCGAGAACTCTCTGACGTCACCTTGCTGATTTGACTGTAACAAGACTTTGTGCGTATCTTACTCAATCGGGAGCGAGGAAAATAGACGATACTATGGCGAATGCTACCTGTTCCTGGTGGTACATGCTGTGGATACATCTGGGCTTGCTGAACTTCGCGCCAATTTACTAGGTAAAACGCATGGAGGGGGAGATTCACACAAGAAGTAACGATAAGGTCGAATAATATTTCACAGCGATTATATTCTGCATATTAATCGATTTTTCGAGGAAGGCATACCTAGAAGCAATGAAAATATTGCATCCTCAATGTCCATCACATAGCTCTGAAGGATTCAAAACTGGTGCTGAATCATTCATCATCAAAATAATTGTCCAAAGCCGACATTACTTAAATAAGTCCTGAGTTATGTCCCCGTGACGCTTAGGTGTGATACTCAACCGACGGAATCAGGATTACTGTTAATTCGAAAAGAATGTATAGGTGTACGGAACGGATAGGGGAGCTGAAGGCGTGAACACCATAACATACTACTTGTTGTTAAATGTATTAGAGAAACAAGAACCATTTTATTGCAAGAAGGATCAGAAAACTAGAAGACAAGCTTCGTAACAGATCCTGTGTTTTAGTGGGTGTGACGGTTTTGTGGACTTCTCCTTCGCCCTCCGAAAAAAAGAACTAAGTAATTGTACTATCCCTCTCTCATCGTTCTAGAGAGCCAAAGCGAAGGATCACTCATTAGAGGAGGGTGAGGAAAAGGAGAAGCAGTCGAAGACATCTGCGCCGAAAAAGCGGGGGAAGTTAATAAAGTTGAGCAAACACAAGGAGGCTACCGATGGCGCCGACGCAGCACCTATCGTTCCAGCCCATGAAAATGGTTCCTTCTTGCAGAGTGGTATTCGGACCCATCCCACGAGTAAGTCAGACCGTCAAGTTCGTCAATGGTATACATCAATTTACTTATTTGTATTTTGATCTATTTACCAACCCATTATCTTGATTCCTTTCGACTTGTTTATCTTCCCGTCTTTATATCTATCCTTCTCTTTCCTGGCTTCCTTTAAACAGACGCTAACTGGCAGGAGTTTGACTTTTCCTTCTTTTACACATTTTTTTTCAGTAAGAAGTAAGGGCAATTTCTTTAAACACATTGAGCTCGCACATTGTTATCCCACCCTGTATCAGAAAGATTAATTAACTTTTATTTGCTTTTGCCTCTTGCAAAAAATACCACATTTTCCATCCAGTTTTGATTATCACATCATTTATTAATTGAATTTACATCATAAAATCCATTTTACTCTTTACTCTTTCGAAACAAGATGAGCATTTTCAATTCATTAGATAACAATTTTTTATGAAGTTAATATCCAGGTTTACTTCTGTAAACGTTACATTGTTTCCGTGGAAAAAAGATGGTAGTTCAGATGTCGCTTCTCAAATAAATGAAAACGAGGTAACTGCCATCATCTATTTCTGACTTATAGGAGTATGTCTTCAAAAGCCTCTCTACCCATTAACATATTTCAAATGATCCACGCAATATACCTTACTGGTGTCGGAAACCACTGTGACTGTGGATCGGGGCTAGGTCGTGCGCTGACTTGCGACATCCCTGAGCTCGTCTGCAGCCACGTGGGTCAGCTCTAGTGAGGTCACCCATAACTGAAGGGGCAGAATAGAAACGTAACACATCCTACTCTGCGTAAATTAGTCAAGGTTTTCTCCATTCTTATAAATCTTCCTCAAAGTTGTTGAGTTATTAGAAATTCCTCTCATCTGGGGTGAAACATTTATGCTCGAGAAAGTTGGAAAAGAGTGATGTGATGCTATGTCAGGTATCTTTTGTGGGACGAGTCGATGGACCTGATGAAAATGAATGGAGGTCATGAAGTGGAAGTTCAAACACTAGGGCCACGCATCTGAAAAGGATTTCTTACTGACTTGCAGTAAAACCGGAAGACTAGCAGCACAGATGACATAGTGGAGGTACATGCTACCATCATAAATGCCAAATGCCAGAAGGCTAAACATGCCTGCACATGATGAAAACAAACGGCGCTCTCTTATGCGTGATTCAAAAAGGTTTGGCACAACTGATTGATCTATCTCTAACATTTTTAAGCCAATTTGCTTTCAGAACCCCCTTACTTCAAAGAGAACAGAAGGTAGGCCCCCATAAGTTCAAAAGCTAATGATGGAGACGCTTATTCATCAGTGAATGTCAAACAGGCTCCTCACACTACCGATACTATCAGTGTGCCCTCTGATACACGCAAACATGTTGGAGAAATTAAAGATATTTTTGAGGTGGTGACTTTTACCATGGGCTGCAGTGAGACTGCTTTAACAAGATCATTCATTTTAATGGTTACAGAAGTCAGAGTGTAATGTTTGAACGTACGGTCGTGTGCTACGTTTGAAGTATTTTTGACACCAACTTTTTTCTTGACGATGGCGAGGCGCATTAGAAATAGAAACTTTGAATGAGGTGAGTCTCTCTGGGTACTCGTTCAGACACGCAATTCGTTGACCTCAATATCATTCCATTGTTTATTCCAGACCTTGCGATTTGCACTTCACCACACCTATGCACATACCTCCTTTGTGCGCAGTTCCGCATTGCGTTATGTTACATAAAAAAACGCTAATCTTCATATTGGAGTCCTGTGCATCCTACGATTTCTGAGTGAGAGAAAAAGGCTTGATCAAAAAGTATAGGAATAGGCTTCCAAATGAGGCGACAAATATACGTAAACTAGTATAAATGGAGTGGAACGCCATTTAACTCCTATCATTATATTCAAACAGTTTCCAGTGTGACTGCTGATTATTGCTACTATCAGGTGCCCCTAATTAGCATCGGCCATGGAGTCCTCAATGTCAACAGAAATCAAGGGGAACACCCTTGTATTAGAGCTCCCAACGATGCCTTGGGGAGCAGTTTAGGCGATTTCAATCAGGAGAGCTCATTTTAACTTAAAAGCATTACAGACTGTTTGCGCGTGTTCAAAGGGTACCATCTGATTACCTGATTGGCTCTCCAGATCCAAACCTCTTAGAATACTGTTTCTGACTCCTCATCCCTTTCGAAAGGTTGTTGATCTATTTAGCTTAACCCCGCCCTTGCTATGCATGACTAAACAAACGCGCATCTCCATTTGTACGCGGTTCCGCGGTGCGCTACCATCGTTTTAGGGTGTTGGACAATTAGCTTTGTATTTCGTTTCAAAGTGAACGCAGATTTTAGGTATTTATTATCAACAATCAGTGCGTTATCTTTTGTTCCGTAGAGGAACAATGCCAATGCCAAAGGTTTTTTGACTTTCGTGCTACCAAATGGCGGTATTGTTTAAGAGCTTATTTAAAATTCATTCATCTGTGCTATTGTTTTCTAAGTTGAAATATGCTCCTCACAACCACTTTTGATTATCAGAGATCAGTGGTCGCTTGGAGAAAAAATGCAAGCAAGAAAAAAGTTTACTTGTTCAAAAATCTATAAGGTAACGAAGAAAGCAGGTGTGGTTTTATGGCAAAAACTAGCTAATTGCAGAAAGCTTCTTATAATGCCCTGAAAGCTAAAATATTCACAGTTAAGACAATCTGTTTTGTCTCTAGAAGTCAAGGGATATCTGTCTTTGCCTACCTCCGTTTCTAACTTTTTATGCCACAGCTGTCGTCCATTAATGCTTCTAAAAAGTGTGAAAACTCTCCCTTCCCATTTGATGTGTGTGAATTAATTGTTTTATTCACAGCATTGAGCATGGCTAAAAATTCATCTCAGCACCTTAATCTATAGTTAGTTTTAAAAATACCCACACTTAAGTCTTCTTAGTTGTCACAAATAGGGTTTGTAGGGGCCCGAGACTTCTCTGAAGACGAAAGAAGACATACTACACCGGCAGAATATGTATCGCGGACGTACAGAAAGGCTAGAGTGCTACTGGCATGGCTTGGGGGCCAAATCACTCGACAAAGGTACAGTGGCGTAGCCCCAAGTGGCTTGTTACCCTAAACCGAGAGTTAAAAGAACAAAGTGTTATAGATCTTCTCAAACACAGCGCACTATTACCTAATGATTCTTTATCAGATTCAGGGAAGTGTAGACTACCTCTGAGTAGTACTTTTGCCATTACATAGCGAACTTTCTCTAAATGCTTTAAAACATTTGGAGTGAGAAGTTTCCACAGCTTTAGAGCCGAGTTAAACTCGGTTTGTAAAGCAGATAAGCTTGAATGCCCACCATCAACTTCACCCGACGTATGACAGCGTGAGGGTTCAAAACAGGCGGAAGAAAATAGAACATAAACAGTGGTCTTAATCCCAAATCTTCCGTTTTAATCTTCTTAAACCACCGTATTTTTAGCATTATTAATCTTCACTTCTTCCAAGTATACCTACCAGGATGTTCTAACGTGCGAGCAAGGAGCTACGTTCCAGACCAACACTGTTCCAGAAATACTGCAATTTTTGTTGGTTTCCTGTCACCAAAGCTTGCATTAACAGTTGCTATCAGTGTTGCCATTCGTGCCCGCTTTGTGTGTCCAAAAACCGGCCGTCAAAATAGCATCCAAGGTGTTTTTTATATGAAATACCTATGGCAAAGCGCACAATGTTTCCCTTTGACTTGGCAAGATCATCAGCCCACAATTCCCTTTTTAAACGTAATAATAATTCCACCGTGCCTGCTTGGGAAAGTGTAATGGAACTATAAATGCACATTTCCAGGCCAAGAGAATTCATTAACTTCGAACTTTTACAGCTTCGACTATTAATCTCCGCGTTTGTAAAATGGGACTTCCCCATTGTTGAAGGTGGACTGGTGAATAGATAGGATCTGGTAACCATGACACTTATCATGAATGCAACATCTCCCACCTATTTTTGAGTAAATTTTACACAACTCCAAAAAATCCCATCGAATTGATGCTTTTTATGAGGGACTATTCAGCCCTCTCAACTGAGAGATTAGGTGTGATGCATGAGGGAGGTAGGAGCACCCTCACTTTTAACAGCCCCACTCACCCGATAAAGTACAGAGGCTTTAAGCCTTGTGGATCCCCACTGTAATTTCACAATTATGCTGCGAATTCACGCAAGCCGTTAGGTGGTGAGAAAGTTTCATGCTTCACCTCTTACTCACCCAGCAAAACTTTTGTGCGACTTTATGTACTCGGGGCTGCAAGATAACTTGAGGGAGATTTTATGACTTGATTCACCTTCTCTGTGTTATCATGCCTAGCGGCATCGAAATCGTTTTAAACATTGAGAGATTAGGTAATTGAAGTTACAAAACTATTTTACCACCCAAAAGCAGTTACTTGGACGGGAATTGCGAATTATTTTCTGTAGGACGGGCCGAGAACAAGTCGTGGTACGACTCCAAGGTAATTCCTTACATTGACGACGGGGGCGCCTCACTTGACAACCTTTACCTACCCGATAAAGCGATTCAGGAGGTCGTGTGAAAGGAAAGCCTGCTTTCTACTACCACCCAATGGCCCTTGTAAATAAACCGATCCTCACTGCTTTCAAGCCCCACCGACTCGAGCGTCCTCCTAACTTCACCTGAACTCACCTGCTGTTGCGACATTTGCAAATGATTATTCGAAAATCACCTCCTTTCTATCGTCTCCCTTCTCCTCTCCACAAACTAGATGGCACAGACTCTATTCTGCATATTGTTCTCCTCCCCTTCCCTACTTCCCCCCACTATCCACGAATTTATTAACAATGTTTGATTTGAAAAGAAGATCTCGGGCGGTTACTTTTATGAGTAATGGGATTTGGGGATAATTTGGCAATTGTCTGGTAGTTTAAAGCTCTAATGGCCTTTCATGAAACACCCAATTCCCCGTGAATTGGAAAAATTTTGACTACACATGCTTGACTGACAAATTTCGGGAGCGGTGTGGTGACTGCACCGATTGCCTTCGCTCTTCGCCACACCTCAAGCCTCTTTTGTAAAGACTGAGTTTATGAAGGAATTTTACAACTGTGAGGAAAAATTCGAAGTCCAAAGGGAAGTATTTTTAGAATTACTTGAAAAGCAATCTGAGAAGTCATCTGGCCCCCTCGGTTTTGCTGTTCTTTTCATATAAAATTTGCTGACTTGCACCCCCCCCTTTCCGCACGATGCTTGTTAAAGTGCATTTCTTGACATAAAATGCCCTAATAAAAGGAAAAATATAGAAGAATCTGAGATTTGGGAGAAAGGATTCGAGAAAATTTTTCCCGTGTTTTTCCAGTTCAACCTATCACTTTGACCGATCCAACCGAAGGAAGTAAGCCATTCAGAGCTTTCAAACTATGCATTCCTTCAACCTGGAGAGGTAATTAATTAGTTAGAAGAAAAAAATAATTAATTGCACACATGAATTACCATTAAAGGCTGCCAAATCTCGTTCAACCTCAAAAATGGTCAAGCGGAGTAAGCAACTTGTGGGCGATCAGCCTACGCACGTATGACCAAGTTAGGTGCAGAACGCTTTGCCGCCAGTTCTTGAGGGAGTCCAACGCAGATGGCACATGTTTTTGGGTAAAAATAGGAAAATTTTTACTTATAGTTTGGGACATCTAAGAGCTTCCTTCATGTTTAGCATGCTTAACGACGTTCTTTTCGAGGATGCCTTAGTTAGAGGACTTGGCAAAAGGCGAGCGAGATTTAGGCTTGAAGGAGGTCACCTCAACGGAATTTCGTGAATTCGCGCTGTAATTAAAAGTTCGCAATGTAGGTAATTACTTCTGGTGCTGGGAAAATGCATTAAATTTTTTTGAAATTTATCCATGAAAAATCGCATTGCTGAGTGGATGGCGAGCATAAGGGAAATACGAAGGCACCACATAAAAATGCTCGATTTGCTCTCGTGTCACCCTTTGTGTAAAAATAAACAAGGAATGTGTTTTATGGTAAAAAACTGAATAATTAAACTTTTGAGAAGAATCCAATCAGCAGATTTCTTGATAAATATTTTTTTAACTTAAGGCCAATGAAAATCCGTTGTCCAGACTCGATGCATGGAAAATAGTGATGATTTTAATTAAGCCGTTGCTTAGAATTTCTTGTAGGTTTTAAGCACAAAAATCTACACACCTGAATCAAGGAAGATAAGCATAACCATGAGCTTAATGGTCCTATCACCACGAAATACATTTGAGTGTCTAAGCAAATCTGACAGTGCCGAGAAGGTGAACACTGAAAGCCAATGTGCAGAGGAGACAACGTTTGGGCTAACAGCCCACACCTTTTAAATTCCTACTTATTTGCCACCAGAATCACCGCAGAATCCCCGGTGACAAGTCTGGAGAGGTTAAACGCAAACATTCCTGAGGTGCATTTTGAAGGCTTGAATCGACGGGGCTAGTTAAAGTGCATCGAGGTGGGCGATGTCTCACCTTAAACGGGTCGGGACCACCTGGAAAGGGGGAAAGACAAAATTCGCATTTAGGGGACTCGTGATTTGTTACTATAGTCACGGTTGGCTTAACACTCACCGCACCTTAAAAGCGTCCACAACACAGACGTCCGTTGGGATCAAATCACTCCTCTATCATGTAATAGCGCCGTTTTTCCCCTTCTTCCGTCTTAATGACTATTTGTTATAGCAATAAGTTTGTGTACAATGGAGTGGAAGGGGACAAGAAATGCGATTAATTTAGATAAAACCTTGTAGTTCTACTAATTACGTAATTGTTCACTATTTTTGTTCTAGACACCTTATTAACTTTTACAGCTATACTTTAGAAAATGGCTAAGTCTTAGTTGTTGTCTGTCTGCAATCCTAGTCGTCGCCTCATCCCATCATCCACAACGCTATTTATGTTGATGGATAAATTATGGATAGATAAAAAAGATTGGTGGGTGAACAGATAGATAGATGGACAGACAGAGAGGTAGATAGGCGGATAGTTTGGTAACGAACAGATGGATGGGTAGACAGATATTTAAACAGACAGGCCGATAGATGGAGAGACAGGCAGGTGAACAGACAGGTAGGGACAGACTGATAGGTAGACACAGAGATGGATAGACAGGAAGATGTATGGCCAGATAGACAGATAGATGGATGAACAAAAGAACGGACAGAGAGGTAGATAAGTAAGTAGTGCTGCGAACATTCAACTATGGTCAATTGCAAGTTGTTTGAAGACGTTCTGACATCCTTCTCAATCCAAGCTCCTACTGTTCAGTATTTTGATCGACACATGCAGAAGTACGGAAACATACTTCCATATCCTACCCCTTTGTCCTAACAGCTAAAAAGACAAGCTCTGAATAAACTATGATCAGTTCAAGTGACTGTTAGTAGGAGGTATCACGACCGGGGCCACAGCCAAGGATTACACCAATTTCTGCTTGCTCATTATTACATAATTTATTTATTTTATTCTACATTCTGTGAGTTTATGCAGGCCTTTCCGGTAACCAGTGATTCTGCCTATACGACGGTAGTGCTACCTAAATTACTAGGCTTGCAAGCTCTCTCTTCACTTATAATTGCGTTGTCTTTAGACTCAACTGCCTCAACGTCTTCTAAAATGTTCACCACAAAGACTATAGGATAATATTATCAACTTCCGGAAACTGAGGGCTCTTATGAAGGGTTTATAGGTATATGAGGAGAAAAAAAGCGTTGAGTGGGAAGTATATTGCTATCAAAAGGTTACCTGAATGGCTCAATAAAATAAGTACTCATCCTACACCAAATATGAGTTCGGTATAACCTGTAAGCCCTAAAATGGGTATGCCAAATAAAAAAATAAAATAAATTGGCACCTCAGAGCAGATTTTAGGTGACTGTGAGAAATAAGAGGTGAGGTGTAATGAGGATCCCATGGTACGCCTTTCGCGTTTACCCAGTGTTGCAATGACAATGAATCTACATTTTTCATCTGCTTCTCCCTCCCTCTCCTGTTGCTTTTTTGACTTCAGGCTAGCCGAAGTAGCAGTTGAGCAACTGGTGTGAATGTATCTACTCGTATGCACGGTCAATCACGGGTGCTCAGCGTGTGTGATGCGGTAATTTCAGAGAAAGAAGTGCTTGCGAGTCCTTGAAATTCATTAGTTTTGTAATGCTACATTAACAAGGGACACCATTATTTCCCTTAGTATCTGAAATATGGGCGTACCTGAGGCGACGTGAGCCTAGCAACGCATCAGCTGGTTGACTACGAGTTGAGGCCCACACACCCCAAATGTTTACCCCATTTCCTGCCTCCCTTGCTATTTAATCATTTGCAAGTAATTTAAAAAATGGCAGCAAGAGGCTTTAAGATGTATGTCCTTCCTGTCTTGGCGAGGTATCTGGAAAATTATCCGCCAATAATTTCCAATGGGCCGCACATGAGGGATTAATCCCATTACTGAAAAACTATAATCTTGAGGCGTTCCAACTAATTACAATTTACTTCTACTGTTTTGAAGACGACTTTAAGATTGTGCATAACGGAGCCCTCTTTCCGGTTAATCAGGTTGCCTCTGTGAGAGTAAACGAGTAGCATACTCTCAGGCGCATCTTATCTGTCTTCGCTTGTCTTTTTAAAGAAAAAAAGCCCATATTTACCCACATTTGTTTATAAAGTGACTTCATAACTTAAGCTGCTTGTAAGCACTTCCACCCACCGACATTTGTTTACCCCCCTTAGTCTTGTTGGAAAGGCTTGGAACTGACAAGACTACTAAGCCACAATTGCATTGCTTTCAGGCGGATGTAAGGGAGGAGGGTAAATCAGTAGTAATCAACCCTCCGTCTATCAAACGAAGAGGTGGCGAGGGAAGTAAACACCAATGGTTTATGTGTGCATCTTCAAATGGCAACTAGCCCGCTATTGTCCTCCTTGTATCGACAATCAAAAACAAAAAGAAGGGAGGTTACCTTAGGGCCAATTATCCTTAAAAACGAAGTATACCTCATCACCAAAGACTTACAACAATTTTTAAAATAGGATTTACAAGGGACGTTAACAAAAACAAAAGCTTTTGAATGTATAAAAAGAAAAAAAGAAATTAATGACTGCAAACGTTATTTATTGTTCATTGTAGTCCTCTACCAGAGTTCATATCAGTAAAGTTGAATTACTTCGGGTTAGCTTTTCAAATTTCTGAAGTGTTTGTGTGTTGATTTTGATCACCGTTCCTACAGAAAGATTTGTTTCTCGTTCAGGTGCATGTGCTTTCGACGTACAGTAGGGATTGGGGCTGTTGGCATGGGTCGAAGGCCCAACCTTCCGTCAAAGACAACATGGCGGAGACTTTTTGCAGCCTTATTACCAAAACCAAGAGTTATACAAACAGCTGAATGATTGCACTCGAGGCTGCGAGTTGGAAATGACTCCCGGTAAGATAGTCACAGACAGATCTTGAGTTGTTTATACAAGTTTTTACCACTCAAATACGTTACTGATAAGATGTTAACTGTTCCGTTACTGAGGTTTGCTTGAAGTTTTCTTCACTAAAGGATCTTTGCGA